ATGCACCTGTGCCATTGCAAACGATTTTGATCAATATCATTCAAAGTCTCTAATTACCGATAACTATCATCTGGCGGTCCCTAACTAGGTACTCTACACACACCAACATGATTCAGTCCATTTGTCTGTGACTTCATGGATTTGTGCCATGTTTTTGTTTGGCCGCCCCTAACTTTCTTCCAACCTACTCCTACACCACAAAATATAGCTCATCGAGGCAGACGGTGGTTAGGCATACGCAGCACATGACCCAACCACCCCCTAACTGATGAAGTTTCACTTCATTACCAACTAATTTATCTTAAAAAGAAAGAAAAAGGTGATGAATATTAGTGATGGTCATCAAATGATCTTTGCATTTGGTCATTTCTGACTGATATCACAATGACGAGTCCTCAAGAAACCAAAACGATTCCATCCCGTTACAACGTGGTAGAATTTTTTTAGAATATCGTGAACTCTAACTAAGTTAGTCTCTACATCTATCATGATGGCTCAGTCCATGATTTGCTCGTCAATTGATATGCTTGAATGCTAATACGAGTTCATCTTACTCGGTAAACGGAACGAAGGGCGATGAAAAAGTGACACGATAAGCTGTTCCGTTTGTCCCCGGCCCAACTAACCAGATGAAGAAATCTTTTTGATAAGGCGTAGAAAGTGTATTCTACAACCTCCCACAAACACACAATGATAGAAACGCCCTTGCGAAGACCAAAAAATAGCGTAATAAAATAGCCCATCAACCACATGATGACAGTAAAGGATTTTCCCAGTGGGAAATGTGAGCTCAAGGTCAACTGGCGTGAAAACATGGTGATTCAAAATTTCCAAAATAAAATTACAATCTTTTCCAAGTGAGTTCTGGGGATCTAACCGTCTCCAACAGTCTAGTTGTCCATGTTTTTTGATTTGGCTCACCGCTAGATTTCCTTCAGCCTGTGCTCTCCTACTTCAACTGCAAAATCGTGCTCGAAGGACAGCTAGCAGACTCTTTCGAGGTGAAGACCGATGTCAGGCAAGGTTTCTTACTCTCACCCTTTCTGTTTCTGCTGGTGATCGACTGGATTGTCAAGATGTCAGCATCTGAAAGGAAACACGGTATTCAGTGGACAGCTCGGACGTAGCTGCATGATCTGGACTTCGCAGATGACCTGGCTCTTCTATGGCACACGCAACGACAAATGCAAGGGAAGACGACCAGTGTAGCAGCAACCCCTGTGGCAGCAGGTCTCAACATACATAAAGGAAAAAGTAAGATTCCTCGATGCAACACAACATGCACCAACCAAATCATTCTTGATGGAGATGCCTTGGAGGAAGTTAACACCTTTACATATCTGAGCAGCATCATCGACGAGAAAGGTGGATCCGATGCAGATGTGAGGCCGCGGATCGGCAAAGCAAAGACTGCATTTCTACGACTGAAAAATATCTGGAACTCCAAACAACTTTCAACCAAAACCAAAATCAAGATTTTCAATACAAATGTGAAGACAGTTCTACTGTATGGAGCGTAAACTTCGAGAACTACGAAAGACGTCATCCAGAAGATTCAAGCATTTCTTGGCAGTTATCTTCGCAAAATACTTCGTATTCGCTGGCCAGACACTATCAGCAACAACTTACTATGGGAGAAAACAAACCAGATTGCAGTGGAGGAGGAAATCAGGAAGAAGCGGTGGAAGTGGATAGGACACTCACTACGAAAAGCACTCAACTGCATCACGAGACATGCCCTCACATGGAACCCTCAAGTCAAAAAGAAAAGAGGAAGGCCAATGAACACATTACACCAGAGAAATAGAGAAAGATATGAGAGGAATGAACAAACAACATTGGACAGAACTGGAGAGGGAAGCCGAGGACAGAGTTGGTTGGAGAATGCTGCTAGTGGGCGGCCTATACTCCATTGGGGGTAACAGGCGTAAGTAAGTAAGTAAGTAAGTGTGCTCTGTTACACAACACAACTTTGTTCATTCATTTACCTCTGTGCGTGTATGTGTGTGCGTGCTTGAATATATGCTCGTTTCTTTTTTCCTGCTTCTTCTATGTAGAATTGCAATCATCGACTGGGATGTTCATCATGGCAATGGAACAGCGGAAATATTCGCAGATGATCCAAAGTAAGTAAACAAACAGAAAAAAAGTGTTTTCTCATATTTTTTTCTTTTAATGACCTGTATTTGTAACCATGAATCGATCATTGTTAGACCACCATTAGAAACCTGGAATTTGATCAAGTTAGACATTAACACCGTTAGATACCGGCTCACTGTTCTAACGGTTAGGGCGTTGGCGCACAATACCGAAGGTCCTGGATTCGAATCCTGCGGGGTGCAGGAGTCGTGGATGCGCACTGCTGAAGAGTCCCATACTAGGATGAAACGGCCATCCAGTGCTTCCAGGTTTCTAGTGGTGGTCTAACATTGATCGATTCATGGTTACAAATAAAACTTAACAATCTTCACAACCCTAATAATGAAAATTGAATTTTTTATGGTGGTCATTGGAGGATCTCTAATGTTTAAATCGAAACGCATACTGAGTAATACAATAAGCGATTGACTTTTCCAAATCTACTGTAAGTCATGAAAGCACTGAAAGACAGCTGTTTCGTTCTGGTATTGGGTTCATCAACAGTGCATAGACATCACTCCTGTTATTCGCATGATTCAAACCCTAAGATCTTCGATCTTGCGCGAGAAAGCCCGCCTAAACTTTGAACCACTAGGTCGTCATCTAACAATGATCATGTCTAGTTGTTTAATCTCATTCTCTGAACTAGTGAATCAATCAAACGCCAAGGCCATCTGATGTTGCTGAAAGACAAAGGGATATAATTGGTTAACAATTGAATTCTCCTTTTTTTTTAAGCTAAGGGATGTACATGTGGAGAATAATATACAGATGAGTGAGTATTCATGACACGACATACTACTCAAATCCGATTATCCTAGCCCCTATATTTAGTTAAAATAAGAAGACGTGATATGAAGTAGAACCTGTATTCTACAAGCATTCAGAAAGTACGAGGTCCGAGTCCAGAAGAGAATCAGGATCTGGGACCGGGTCCTGGTCGTGGTCATAAAATGTTACAGATAATGCGTATTTATACATTTTGGTCGAATAGGAAACATCATCGGAGTCTGTGACATTGACAGTCCGAATGACCAATAAGAGACAACATTAAAGTATTTGACTTTGACAGTTAAAACGACCATAATTTTGACCAATAGAAATCGACCAATAGGATTCGACCAATAATTCTTTTAGGATATTGGATGAATATCCTAACACCATTCAAATGATCCATCTTAGTTATTTGTGTAAGATTGATTAGTGATTAGAGATGGATTAATGGACACGCGTTTTATCGTCTTTTTAGGATTCGTCAGTTGAATGTCACTGCACATACATACCAAATATCAGTCAGAGTTAATCAGTAACAACGACATTAGCACAGAAACGCAATTGGTAGTTCAAATCCCATAGTGATAGAGATAGTAGAAGTGTTACTGATAATGGAGAAGATTAGGGTTCGAAGATATGACTCAAGAAGAATAATTCAGTGAGATCAACTTAGAAAGAGAAAGACAGAGGTGATAAAGAATTCAGGAGATTAAAATTTAAGGGCGGAAATAAAGAGTAAATGCACGTGCACCATTGGAAACGATTTTGAGCCCTATCTTTTAAGGTCTCTAAAAATTGGTTACTATCGTCTGGCGAACCCCAGTCAGTCTATTGTCAATGACTTCATGGATTTATACCATGTTTTGGTTTGGTCGCCCTTAGCTTACACACCATACCAAATGGAACTGATCACAATTTCAGTTCTAATTATCAATAAGAAAATATCCCATTAGCCAATATAAATAAATTAAGCGTCACTTCATTTGCATACAAATCCTTAGCTAAGTAGATAACTCGATGGCGTTTTAAGTGTCACACCTGCACGTAAATACGTCAACTTGATATACTGGAACCATTACGAGTTTAGTTAGTCGGAAAAATGAGAGCGAGGATCCGGCGACACGACATGCTACTCAAATCCGATTATCTCAACCCCCATATTTAGTTAAAATAAGAAGTAGAACCTGTATTCTACAAGCATCCAGAAAGTATGAGGTCCGAATCCAGAAGAGAATAAGGATCCGGGACCGAGCCCTGGTCGTGGTCATAAAACGTTACAAATAATGCGTATTTATACATTTAGGTCGAATAGGAAACAGCATCGAAGTCTGTGACATTGACAGTTAAAACGACCAATAGGAAGCAACATTGGAATTGACATCGATAGTCAGGACAACCAATAAGAAACAACATTTGAGTACGTGACATTGATATCTAGGGCGACCATAAAATTAACCAGTACGAATTAACCAATAGGAATCGACCAATAATTCTCTTAGGATATTGGATGAATATCCTAACATTAAGACAAAACGTTACTAAGTTCACGTCTCACAGTAAACATCAATTCCACAATCCAGGTACATTTCATCTTAGATGCTACTGTTAACCATTCATCTCTGCTACTGATAATAATAATAATCCTTGTAACTTCAAAGACAATACAATCTTTCATTCAAACAATCAAAATACATTGAAATATATTAAAATCATGAATCGATCAATGTTAGACCACAATCGGAAACCTAAAAGCACTAGATGGCCGTTTCGTCTTGGTATAGGACTACTACTCATCAGCAGCACAGTGCGCATCCACGATTCCTGCATCTCGCAGGTTTCGAAGCCAGGACCTTCAGTCTTGCAAGGTACAGGAATCGTGAATGCGCACTGCTGCTGATGAAGAGTAGTCCTATACCAGGACGAAACGACCGTCCAATGGTGCTTCTTCTTCTTCCAGGTTTTTAATGTTGGTGGTCTAACATTGATCGATCGATTGATGATTTCAAATGTGTAACGTAACAAATTTTCACAACCCATCGTAATGAAATAAATAATTAAACAATTACTATTTTTCTTTCTAATCACAGTATCCTATACATATCAGTGCATCGTTTTGATCATGGACGTTATTTTCCAAATAGTGATTTTAGTTCCAGTCAATTTTGTGGTACCGATGAAGGATTAGGTCGAACAATTCACGTTGCATGGAATGGGGTTTGTTTTGTGGTTATTTTTAATTAATAAATAAATTTTTGTGTATATCATAGACTAATTTTTTCTAGTGACTGCGTTAAATTTGAAGTTAAGGTTAGGGGGTTCATTGAACATGACAGAAATCTATGAAGTGACTGATGAATGGATTGAGTCATGTTGGTAGGTGTAGACTACCTACCTACCTGGTTGGAGTCCGCGAGATGATACGAATCGGGTGACATAGCTCAAAACCGTTTGCAATGGCGCCGGTGCATTCAATCTTTGTGTTCTCTTGAATCCTAATCTTCGGAATTCCCCAATCATCACTGCTTTTCTCCTGCTAAAGTTGTGTCACTGAATTATACTTTTTGAATCATATCTTCCAACTCCAATCTCTCCGATTACTGCTAATACATCTGTGGTGTGAGCTACTTATAAGTAGTATATGACGTGAGTGTCAACGTAATGTCTGGCAGCAGAAGATGGGGGAAGATCAAGAAAGGAAGAGTGGGGGGAACACAATGGGATTTGTATGAAACGCATGAATAGTAGTGACAATGAATTGATGTTTTGCAACAGGAACAGTCCAGTTCGATATGATGGACTGATATTTTGCAAATGAACGATTTACGATATGGTTTTCCGATTTTACTGAGTAACTCTGTTATTTGCGATAAATACAATTCAGTTGCCCTCACCTGTGTTCTCGGTCACTACACGTCTACTACCTCTACTACCATGGGATTTGAATTGACAATTGCATCTTTGTGTGCTAATGTGGTATGGCAACTTGGACTGATGCAAGTACGTACGTACGAAGTTCTACGTTGTGAGTTTACCTACTATACTGGCCCAACTTGGGAAATCCTTTACTGTCATCATGTGGTTGATGAGTTATTTTATTACCCTATTTTGTGGCCTTCTCAAGGACGTTTTTATCATTCTGTAAATAAGCTTGATTTGTTTGCTTAGAACAACCTTGTATTTTCTGGGTGCTTGTAGATTCCACTTTATACGCCTTAGCAAAACTTCATGATCTTGTTAACTGGGCCGGTTCTGTCCAATTTTCGTTCATTCTTCCCATATCTGTCTCTGTTTCTCGACGTACTGTATTCTTCGGCCTTCCTCTTTTCCTTTGACTTTGAGGGTATCCATGTGAGGAGGACTTGTCTAGTGACGCAGTTGGGTGCTTTCCGTAATGTGTGTACTATCCACCTCTAGCGCTTCTTCCTGATTTCCCTCCCTGTTTGCTGGAATCTGGTTTGTTCTCTTGAACAGTAGGTTGTTACTGATGGTGTCTAGCCAACGGATCTGATATGTTCGTCACTAGGTATGCTTGAGGCTATTACGAGTTTACCTTAGTCGATAAACGCGAACGAGACAATGAACCAGCGTCCAGATAGGCTACCTTGAATCCCAAGCTGAAGATAAAAGGCTTTGTAAGCGTAGAAAGTATATTCTACAAACACCCAGCAATCACAATACAATCAAGCACACAACTCTCGTTTATTTATACATCATAGAAACGTCCTTGGGACAGTTACGAAAATAGCACAGCAGCCAATCACAGCCATGGATTTTCCTGGTGGGTCAACTGATCAGCCCATGCTGGCAAACGTAGAATCCAAAATAAGGCATTCATCAAACTAGTTTTGAAGGATCTAACATCCCCAACAGGATGCGAAGTATTTTGCATAGAGATCAATTAATGAACACTTGTATCTCCTGGATAATGGTAGCCTCTCGTAGTTTCTATTTCATATAATAGAACTGTTTTGACAAGTGTGTTGGAAATTGTAACTTTGTTGTTGATTGATAGTTGTTTTGAGTTCCCCATGTTGTTCAATTGTAGAAATCCTGTCGTCTCTTTGCCGATCTGATCTGCACCTTCACATCTGATTCCGATTCACCTTGTAAATGTTTTAACGTCCTCCAGACATCTCCATCAAGAGTGATTTGATTTATTCATGTCTCGGTGTTACTCAGGGTCTTGCTGTTTCCTTTGTGTAGTATGTTGAAACCTGCTGCTGCTACACCGGTAGTCTTCTCTTGCATTTATTGTTGCGTGTGCGTGTTAGATAGGCCAAATCATCTGTGAAGTCTAAATCGTGCAACGACATCCGTTATTTCTTCTATCGCACATGCAACAACAAATGCAAGAGAAGACGACCAGTGTAGCAGCAGCCTCTGCAGCAATAGGTCTCAACATACATAAAGGAAAAAGCCAAATTCTCCGATACAACACAACATGCACCAACCAAATCACTCTTGATGGAGATGCCTTGGATGACGTTAACACCTTTACATATCTTGTCAGCATCATCGACAATCAAGGTGGATCCGATGCAGATGTGAGGGTGCGGATTGTCAAAGCAAGGGCTATATTTCTACAGTTGAAAAATATCTGGAACTCCAAACAACTTTCAACCAAAATCAAAATCAGGATTTTCAATACAAATATCAAGACAGTTCTACTGTATGGAGCGGCATCATCCAGAAGATACAAGTGTTTATTAACAGCTGTCCTCACAAAATACTTCGGATTCGTTGGCCAGACACCATCAGCAACAACCTACTGTGGGAGAGAACAAACCAGATTTCAGTGGAGGAAGAAATCAGGAAGAAGCGGTAGAAGTGGATAGGACACACATTGCGGAAAGCACCTAACTGCGTCACAAGACAAGCCCTCACATGGAACCCTCAAGACAAAAGGAAAAGAGGAAGTCCAAGGGACACATTACACCAGAGAAATAGAGAAAGATATGAGAGGAATGAACAAACATGGGACAGAACTGGAAAGGGAAGCCCAGGACAGAGTTGGCTTGCGAAAACTTGTGCCGGCGGCCTATGCTCCATTCGTGGGGTAACAGGCATAAGTAAGTAAGTAAGTACATCCGTTGTTGACCATCGAAAATGAGGGGGTGGGTGGGGGCAGTGAAAATATGTTTTAATCCATCTGTTTCAAATCATACAACTTGATTATTGATTTTATCGATCACTCGGTTTCTTTCACCCCTTAATTTTCTCTCTCTCTCTCTCTCATGTTCTTTTTTTCTCTATTCTTCATTGATTTTTTTTAGAGAGACGTTAAAGATGGTGATTATATTGTTGCATTTACAAATATTATCATCCCTGTTTTATATGAATTTCGACCACAGTTGATTTTAGTCTCAGCTGGTTTTGATGCTGCTCAAGGTGATACATTGGTAAGATGATTGATCATTGTGTTTTGTGTGTTGTGTGTGTGTGCGTGTGTGCGTTTCAGTTTCATTTTTTCATTGATTGTCTATTCATAGTCATTATAGACTTGTTTCTCTAGATATAAGATTTTCTTCGTCTGACTTCTTGTTACGCCTGCATGTAAACACGTCAACTTGATATATACTTGAACTATTACGAGTTTACCTTGTCGGAAAACGAGAGCGAGGATGGAGGATCCGGTGACACGAAATGCTACTCTAATCCGATTATTCCAACCCCCATATTTGGTAAAAGAAGACAAGCCTTGATATGAAGAAGAACCTGTATTCTACAAGCATCCAGAAAGTACGAGGTCCGATATCAGAAGAGAATCAAGATCCCGGACTAGGGATCCGGGTCCTGGTCGTGGTCACAAAATGTTACAGATAATGGGTATTTATAAATTTTGGTCGAATAGGAAACAGCATCGAACTCTGTGTCATTGACAGTTAAGACGACCAATAGGAAGTAACATTTGAAATGACATTGACAGTCCGGATGACCAATACGAGACAACATTGGAGTATTTGACTTTGACAGTTAAAACGACCATAATTTTGACCGATAGAAATCGACCAATAGGATTTGACCAATAATTCTTTTAGGTTATTGGATGAATATCCTAACCCTTTTCAGGAGTTGACCTTCTACCAGGAGATTCACTGGTTGACTTAGAATATGCCGATGACATAGTTCTATTCGGTGAAGGCGCTGATGAAATGCTGTGTCTCCTAACTAACCTAAACAACAATGCAAGCATGTTCGAGATGCGGTTTTCCACCTCGAAATGCAAAATGTTGCTTCAAGACTGGGTTGCTTCGGCACCTGAACTAGTGATAGGGAGTGAAGTAGTCGAGCGTGTTGACCGCTTCACTTATCTGGGGAGTCTCATCATTGCTGATGAAATCTCAGCACGGATATAGAAGGTTGGATTGGCTTTTACTGACTTGCGTCACTTATGGTTTAGATGAGATATCCGTTTGCTAACCGAAGGATGAGTGTACTGCGCAGCAGTTCGTTCCGTTCTCCTATATGGATGCGAAACATGGCCTGTCAGAGTAGAAGATATTCGTAGGTTACTGGTTTTCAATCATAGGTGTCTCCAAAGCATTGCTCGTATATCCTAGGACAGTTGAGTAAGCAATGCTCTTGTTAGGAGTAAGAATGGCAGATCAATAGATGAAGTATTTGAGCTTCATTAGTTGAGGCGGTTGGGACATGTGTTACGTATGCCCAACCACCGAGTGTCTGATCGAGTTATGTTTTGTGGTGTAGGAGTAGGTTGGAAGAAAGCTAGAAGCGGCCAAACTAGAACATGAGAAAAATCCATGACATTATTGATAAATGGACTGAGTCATGTTAATAGGTGTCGACTACCTACCTGATTGGTGTCCTCGAGACAATAGTAACCGATGGTTAGAGACTTCGAATAACATCGCTCAGAATCTTGTGCAAGGTCATTTTCAACGGGATGGCATCACCAACCCCCATGCCCCGAAGACAGAGTCGTTTGGAAGTTACTGGATAACAATGCGTATGTAATTAAGTAATCATCAAAGGCTGACGTACTAGCTCTAAACTGTCGTCCAGTGTACCTCAAGCTGTGTTCAATGGAGCCTCCTAACCTAGAATTAGTTTTGTTTTCATTTTCAAGGATAGTGTTACGCCTGTACATAAACACGTCAACTTGATATACTTGAACTATTACGAGTTCACCTTAGTCGGAATACGAAACCGAGGATCGAGGATCCGGTGACACAACAGGCTACTCACATCCGATTATCCCAACCCCCATATTCAGTAAAAATAAGAAGACTTGATATGATGTAGAACCTGTATATTCTACAAGCATCCAGAAAGTATGAGGCCCGAGTTCAGAAGAGAATCAGGATCCCGGACTAGGGATCCGGGACCGGGTCGTGGTCCTACATGCTGTCTCATGATAGTTCATGAGAATACTAGGGCCCATATAAACTACTCGTTAGGAATGAGGTTTATCCAACTCCCTCCAGGTGGATCCTCTGTAGCCACCAATTTGGTTTAATCCATCCACCGGACTAACAGTCTCTTTCCCACTTCTCAATTCCATCAAAAACAACAACCTTTTCCATGTGTTATAATGATGCTACATAGCTATTCAAGATCCTACTGATGTATGAATTTCAGATATTCCAATACGACCCCAAATCTCCTACATATCAGAACGTAACACCGTTAGATGAATTTGTTTATGGGGTTGAGTATAGTTAGTGATGAAGGCAGGAAGGAATGGAATGGAATCCTTTACAGATAATGCGTATTTATACATTTTGGTCGAATAGGAAACATCATCGAACTCTGTGACATGGACAGTTAAGACAACCAATAGGAAGCAATATTTGAAATGACATTGATAGTCAGGACAACCAATAAGGGACAACATTTGAAGTATGTGACCTTGATATCTACTAGGATGATCATAAAAATTGACCAATAGCAATTGACCAATAAAGTTCTCTTAGGATATTATTGTATGAATATCCTAACAGTGAGATTCAATGTTCAACGTTTGTTTGATTTCATTTTTTAAGCATAGATTCAATGTTCAATAATCAATATTCAATGTCTGTTTATTTGTTTTTTGTTATTTTCATTTTCTCAAGGGTCGATTAAATGTATCCCCGGAATGTTTTGCTCATTTAACTCATTTACTAATGACTGTTGTACATTTAAATCCATCTGTGTATACATTAAATAATTCTGTCAAGAAAAATACTTCTACTTCTACTTCATCACCAACAACAACAACTGATAAAATCATTACATCGATGTCATCAACAATCAGACAAACACGTCAACGTATACAACATGAAAAATCAATTTCTTATGCTGGTGGTTTAATACTTGCTTTAGAAGGTGGTTATCAACTGAATGCGCTATCATTATGTATTGCACATTGTACTGCTGTCTTATTAGGTGATCCTTGTCCACGGTTATCAACATCATTACTCTCGATATCTGACAAGTAAATTTATTTTTATTTGTATTGTGTGAAGATTGTAAAGTTATACATTTGTTTTGTTTTTTGTAACCATGAATCGAGATCAATCAATGTTTAGATGAACTACTATTAGAAGAAACCTGGCAGAAGCACTGAAAGACGGCCGTTTCTTCGTGGTCAGTCAGTCAGAGTCAGATTCAACGTAGAACTTCGTACGTACGTAAGTACATCAGTTCATGTTGCCATATCACATTATCAGCACAGAGATATAATTGTCAATTCAAATCCAATAGTAGAAGAGGTAGGTGGTTAAGGTATTAAAAGTAATCGGAGAGGTTAGGATTAGAAGATATTATTCAAGAAGTATGATTCAGTGAGAAAAGATTAGAAAGTCAAAACTAGAGGTGTTAAAGAATCAAGAAGATTAGGATTTGAGAGAACACAAAGAATAAATGCACCGGCGCCATTGCGAACGATTTCGAGCCATGTCAATGAAGGTCTCCAACCATCGATTATTATCATCTCGCGGACCCCAACCAGTTAGACGACAATTACCGACATGTCTAAGTCCACTCGTCAATGACTTCATGGATTTCTGCCATGTTTTTGTTTGGCCGCCCCTAACTTTCTTCCAACCTATTCCTACACTACAAAACAGTTTCGTCCTGGTATGGGACTCCTCCTCACAGGCAGTGCGCATTCACGAGTTAGACATTAACACTGTTAGATACCGGGGCTCAGTGGTCTATAACGGTTATGGTGTTCGCGCACAATACCGAAGGTCCTAGATTCGGATTCGAATCTTGTGCGGGGTGCAGGAGTCGTGGATGCGCACTGCCACTGATGAGTAGTCCCATACCAGGACGAAACGGCCGTCTTTCAGTGCTTCCAGGTTTCTTCTAATGGTGGTCTAACGTTGATCGATTCATGGTTTCAATATTGTGTAATCATGTTTAATTGTAGTATTTTTGTGCGGGTAAATACCCTCTTGCCCCTCGCCCTACACACGCATACCTATACGTAGCTCAAGAAGATTGTATTATAAGAGGAATAAGGTATTGGAATGGCTCCGACAGTATGAGGTGTACAAGATATCTGACTGTGATACGTGTTAACTGCCCTACAAAACTAGCTACTTGAGGTATGAAGGTAAGAAGAGTAGTAGGGAAAGTTTATTGAGCTACCTACCGAATCAAATGTACAAATACTCATCTATGTACATATAGGTCTTAACATATAAAAAGGGAAAAGTAAGATTCTACGATACTATACAACATGCGTCAACCAAATCACTCTTGATGGAAATGCCTTGGAGGACGTTAACACCTTTACATATCTTGGCAGCATGATCGACAATCAAGGTGGATCCGATGCAGATAAGGGGCGCGGATTGGCAAAGCAAGGGCTGTATTTTTACAATTGAAAAATTTCTGGAACTCCAAACAACTTTCAACCAAAACCGAAATCAGGATTTTCAATACAAATGTCAAGACAGTTCTACTGTATGGAGCGGAAACTTGGAGAACTACCAAAGCCATCATCCATAATATACAAGTATTCATTAACAGTTGTCTTCGCAAAATACTTCGGATTCTTTGACCAGACACTATCAGCAACAACCTATTGTAGGAGAGAACAAACCAGATTCCAGTGGAGGAGGAAATCAGGAAGAAGCGTTGGAAGTGGATAGGACACACACTACGAAAAGCACTTAACTGCGTCACAAGACAAGCCCTCACGTGGAACCCTCAAGGTGAAAGGAAAAGAGGAAGACCAAGGAACACATTACGCCGAGAAATAGAGAAAGATATGAGAAGAATGAACAAACATTGGACAGAACTGGAAAGGGAAGTTGAGGAGAGAGTAGGTTGAAGAAAACTGGTGGGCGGCTTATTCTCCATTGGGGTAACTGGCGTAAGTAAGTAAGTAGGGAGAACTTAAACACTACTACTATCCAGATATATTAATTATCACTCATCAACACTACAACAACGCTCGTTCACTGTCTAATCCTAACTATACACACCTACACACACAGCTAATTGGCTCCGTGATATATGATAATTACAGGACAAACGTTCATATTTCACTTTCCTTTTCTATTGTTTAATTAAAAAAATTAAAATTTTTCCCTATCGTTTATTTCCCCCTACAGAAGTTGTAAATCTATGCAACAAACCATTCAAGTTCAATCGAACTATTGGAATATGCTTCAAGGTTTCGGTAGGTTCTCACGGTGTAAAAAAAAAATCTGTTTGTATATAGTTTTTCTGTTGTTTCTAAATTTTAATCTTTGTAATTGAAGTTAATCGGAAAAAAATTTTAAACAGAGAAAGAACGAGGGTGGAAGTGAATCACTCCTACTTCTACGATTACTACATACTGAATCGATTCAATGTTAGTTTGTAATAGGTACTTACTTATTTACTTACTTACTTACGTACTTACTTACACGCACTTACTTACTTACTTAACTTATGAACTTACGTAATTACTTACCTACTTACTCACCTACTTACTTACTTACTCACACGCACTCACTTACTTACTCACTCACTTACTTACTTACTTACTTACTTACTTACTTACTTATGCACTTATGCACTTACTTACTTACTTACTTACTTACTTACTTACTTACTTACTTACTTACTTACTTACTTACTTACTTACTTTACTTTGCAAGTGTATATATATATATATATGTATAGTGTGACCAGATAGTTCAAAATTTATATCGCGTGCAAATAATACATTTTTTGAAGGTGATTGAGAAAATTTTAGAGCGAATGAGAGAGAGAGAATGTGAGTCACTGTATTGTTGTTCTACTAACACTATTCCTCCTACTACTTGTTACTACTTACTGAATCGATTCAATGTTCATTTCGAATGCCAAACCAATTAGAACGATGTAAGTGATTTCAAGGTTATCGTGTGCGTGTGTGTGTGTGTGCATGAATAGTAATTCAACATAATTTTACTGATGACTGAAATAAATATGAACAACACACCATCAAGTACACGTACACTTACATTGATATAGGATTGTAACTTTATTCATGAAATAACCTAGTGTACTAATGTACATCACATTAGCACAGAAATATGAAATTGTTAAAACACAAACCGTAGAGTATTAAAGACAGTGACAGTGTGGTGCGAGCTACTTATAAGTAGTATATGACGTGAGTGTCAACGTAATATCTGGCAGCAGAAGATGGGGGGGAAGATCAAGAAAGGAAGAGTTAGAAGAACACAATGGAATTTGTATGAAACGCATGAATAGTGAGTGACAATGGATTGATGTTTTTTGCAACAGGAACAGTCCAGTTCGATATGATGGACTGATATTTTGCAAATTAACTAACGATTTACGATATGGTTTTCCGATTTTACTGAGTAACTGTGTAATTTTCGTTAAATTCAATTCGGTTGCTCCCACCTGTGTTCTCCTTCACTACAATAGTATCAGTTAATCAGTCAGTTAACTACAGAACTTTGCACGTACCATATACCATACTAGTACAGTCAGATGTGTAGGAAGGATTTGATTGTGACCAAGTTAATCGTGTATGCTGTTACAGGTATGTGGGCAGATATCACCTATTATTACCATGGAGAACCTGTTACCTCTTTTAATATCTGTCTCCAATCGCGGTACAATCAAATCCTTCCTACACCTCTGAATAATTCTCCTATCCTCCACACCTCATCGCTGATACAAATGTTCCGAGTTCACAAACATAGTTCAAAATCGCCTAGGTGCATTCATTCATTATGTGTTCTCTCAGGTTTTAATCTTCTGACCCGACAGAAGCTGCTACCTTGACGTGGTGTTCGGGCTTGCCTATCGTGATGACCCAATCGAGCTATATTGGCTGGAACTTATGTTCCTAAAGGTTCTACCATGCCAGGCAGGTCGCTGGATAATATACTTCTTGAATCATATCTTCGAACCTTAATCTTCTCTCCTACTATAGGATTTGAATTGACAATCCCATCTCACTGTTTTGCAATCCATGATGCCTGGTGTAGGGAGGGGTTGGCTGGAAGAAAGCCCAAGGGCTGTCAAACCAAAACATGGCACAAATCCAAGTAGACTGAACCATGTTAGTAAAATAGGTGTAGACCACCTAGTTGAGATCGGCAAAATAATCATAACCGATGGTTAGAGACCTTGAATAACATAGCTCAAAATTGTTTGCCATGGCGCAGTGGCATCCACTCTGTGTTCTATGAAATTTTAATCTTCTGAATTCCTCGTCACCACTGTCTTCCTCCTTCTAAAATAATCTCACTGAATTGTACTTCTCGGATCATATCTTCGAACCCTAATCTTCTCGATTACTGCTAACACTTCTACTATCTCTACCACTATGGGATTTGAACTGACAATTGCGTCTCTGTGCTGATGCGTTATGGCAACCTGAACGACGTTCTGTATTATATAATTGACTGACTGAGTAGCTATTGGTTAGAAGCTTTTGAATAATGACATGGCCAAAAATCGTTTGTAATGATACAGGTTTTTTCTTATGACATCAGGACATACTGTTGCTTCGTCTTTTTAAATTTGCTTCAATGGTATTAACTTGAATCATATCGTTGAATCCTAATCTTCTCCATTCAGTCAGTCAGTTGCAACGTAGAACTTCGTACGTGTATGTACATAAGTTCATGTTGCCATACCACATTATTAGCACAGAGACGCAACTATCAAATCAAATCCCATAGTGATAAAGATAGTAGAGGTATTAATGGTAATGAAGAAGACTATGGTTTGAAGATATTACTATTCAAGAAGTATAATTCAGTGAGATAAGGTTAGAAAGACAAAGGGGTAGAGGTGCTGACGAATCCAGAAGATTAGGATTCGAGAGAGCACAACGAATGGATGCACCATTGGTGACTTTCGTCTCGCGGACCCCAACCAGGTAGCCTACATCTCTACCAACATGACTCAGTCCACTTGTCAGTCACTTCATGGATTTCTGCCATGTTTTGCTTTGGCCGCCCGTACCTTTCTTCAAACCTACTCCTACACCACAAAACATAGCTCGTCACGGCAGTCGGTGGTTCGACATACGTAACACATGTATCACAACCACCTCAACTAATGAAGTTTCATTACTGCTAAATACACTAACTTGTACTACCTCTAATACTACAGAATTTGAATTGACAATCCAATCTCTTTGTTTGCTGATATGATGGGTGATATGGCAACTTGAGCTGATGTACATACCTACGTATCAAATGTATGTTATAGTATCAATAAAAACTAATTTATTTGCGAAAGTTAGGGGCGGCCAGACCAAAACATGGCAGAAATCCATAAAATCACTGACAAGTAGACTGAGTCATGTTGGTAAATGTAGACTACCTAGTTGAGGTCCGCGAGACGAAAGTCGCCAATGGTAAGAGACTTTGAACGACATGGCTCAAAATCGTTTGCGATTGCTCAAGTGCATCCATTCATTGAGCTCTCTCAAATCCTATTCTTCTGAATTCGTCAGCACCTCTACCCCTTTGTCTTTCTAACCTTATTTCACTTAATTATACTTCTTGAATAGTAATATCTTCAAACCCTAGTCTTCTTCATTACCATTAATACCTCTACTATCTCTACATCACTATGGGATTTGATTTGACATTTGCGTCTCTGTGCTAACAATGTGGTATGGCAACCTAAACTTATGTACATACATACGTAGTTCTACGTTGCAACTGACTGATTGCGAAAATAAAACAGAGCTTCATCTTATATGTTTCCTTTTTTTCAAAATCATCATTTTAAATATACCTCTTGTTGTTACTTTTTTGTCTTAATTTTCAATATTTAGATCCAGTCGATCGTCTGTATGATCAAGATTTAATACGTCGACCTGTAATTGGTAGAAACACACGACAAAATCCACAAAATACTAATACTACTAATATGAATATTAGTAGTAGTATTGGTAGTGGTGGTAGTAGTAGTAGTACAACAACTATTGAAATGGATTCTGTACATTCAAAATTAGAAAATTTCGATTTAAATCGTCATCATCATCCTCATCATCCTCCTCAGCATAATAAACAATTTATTACAAATTGTACATCCACTCCTGACGCCGGTGACAGCAGTCATCCTCATAATAATACTCATAACCATAATCTGGACGATGAATTTTCCGAGTTATTTAAATCCAAATTAACATTAGATGGTTAGTTTTCAATGTGTGTGTTTGTGTGTGTGCGTGTGTGTGTGTGTGTTTTATTTTTGTTCAATTTTGAAATTATGAATTAATTCCCATGTTGTGGAAAGTGGAACGAAGAAGTACGCTGGATGACCATTTAGTTGTACAGACCACATCTTCACACTACGACAGGTCCTGGAACACAGACACACATTTAGGCGTCCTACAATAGTTGTTTTCCTGGACCTGAAAGCGGCATTTGACTCAGTGGATGATCGTGAGGTTCTGTGGCAGTGTCTGTCATTGAAAGGTGTACCAAAGAAGTACATCAACCTTATACAAGCTCTCTACTCGAAAACCACTGGTCGAGTGAGGGCTTATGGCGAACTGTCAACGGAATTCTTTACTTCAAGTGGTGTCCGTCAGGGATGTCTACTTTCTCCATTCTTGTTTAATTTTATCATAGACATGCTCCTAGAAATAACCTTATCCTCGTCTGAATTTTCTGGAGTAGACCTTTTGCCTGGAGGCTCGCTTATTGACTTAGAATATGCCGACGACATAGTTGTATTCAGTGAAGATGCTGACAAAATGCAGAGTCTTCTGACTACCCTAAGCAACAATGCAAGCATGTTCGGGATGCGGTTCTCACCCTCGAAATGCAAAATGTTGCTTCAAGATTGGGTCGCATTGGCACCTGAACTAGTGATAGGGAGTGAAGTAGTCGAGCGTGTAGACCGCTTCACTTATCTTGGGAGTCTCATCAGTGCCGATGGCCTGGTGACTGACGAAATGTCAGCTCGGATACAGAAGGCTCGATTGGCTATTGCCAACCTGCGTCACTTATGGCGCAGGCGACATATCCGCTTGCTAACCAAAGGACGAGTTTACTGAGCAGTAGTTCGCTCCGTCCTACTTTGTGGCTGTGAAACATGGCCAGTGAGAGTAGAAGATATTCGTAGGTTACTGGTTTTCGATCGTAGATGTCTTCGAAACATTGCTCGTATATCGTGGGACACCCGAGTGAGCAACGTTGTTATTAGGAAGCCGGGGATGCTAGGTAAGAATGGCAGATCAATAGATGAAGTACTGAAACTTCATCAGTTGAAATGGTTGGGACATGTGTGTTGCGTATGGCTAACCACCGACTGCCTCGACGAGCTATGTTTTGTAGTGTAGGAATAGGTTGGAAGAAAGTTAGGGGCGGTCAGACCAAAACATGGCAGAAATCAATGAAGTCACTGACAAGTGAACTGAGTTATGTCGGTAATTGTCGACTACCTGGTTGGGGTCCGCGAGATGATAATAATCGATGGTTAGAGACCTTGAACGAGATGGCTCAAAATCGTTCGCAATGGCACCGGTGCACTCATTCTGTGTGTTCTCTCAAACAAATCCTAATCTTCTGGATTCTTCAACACCTCTAGTTTCTGTCTTTATAAACTTATCTCATTGAATCATACTTCTTGAATAATATTTTCTAATCCTAACCTCTCCGATTACTTCCAATACCTTTACTACCTCTTCTACTATTGGATTTGAATTGACAATTACATGTCTCTGTGCTGATGTGATATGGCAACATGAACTGATGTACTTACGTACGCAAGTTCTACGTTGCATCTGACTGACTGACTGGACGACCATTTAGTTAATTGTTCGGTAGAGAAGGAGACTCTGACTCACTGGTGACAGTGTGCATTTATGTCTTGGTTACGGCCTATGGTGAAGAGGAGAGTTCACTGTCTCTCTTAAAATGCTTTCTGTTATATTCGTCACTAGGTATGCTTGAAACTATTTTACAAGTTCAACTTAGTCGATAAACGCGAACGAGACAATGAACCAGCGTCCAGATAGGCTACCATGAATCCCAGTCTGTAAAACAGAAGTCTTGATGTAGCGTAGAAAGTATATTCTACAAACACCCAGCAATCACACAATACAATCAAGCACCCAAATCTCGTTTATTTATACATCATAGAAACGTCCTTGGGACAGTCACAAAATACAGTCACACTAAAATACACAGCAGCAGCTAATCATAGCCATGGATTTTCCTGGTGGTGGGAAATGAAATCTCAAGGTCAACTGATCAGCCCATGCTGGCAAACGTGAAATCCAAAATTAAGGCATTTATTAAGCGAGTTTCGGGGGATCTAACATCCCCAACACTTTCATATGGCAATGTGTATATAGCCACTGTCACGAAACTCTTACTCACTCACCACCATCTTCTCATCGCATAGGTGTTGGTCAATTAGATGGGAAGTAGAAATGAGAATGTCCAACGGAAGATTAAACTGAGTTGTTGTGTAGAGAGGATTCGTCTAGGGGGGAGAGTTTCAATTCCAAATGGATTTGTCACACTACACACTGTTATGATGTACGGACCCCACAGGTTTGAATGCATGCAATACGTGTTAACCTTACAAAACTGACTACTTGAACAAGAAGACAAGAGCAGCAACATTGTAGAACTTTGTACGTACTTACGTACATCAATTTAAGTTGCCGTACCAAATTAGCACCAAAGAGATGGAATTGTCATTATCAAACCGCATAGTAGTAGTAGTAGCAGTATTAGTAGTAGTCGATAACTTGTAATGTTTTTACGGGCTGGCCACGGTAGTTCGTTCGGAAGCCATTAAGACGCGAAGTTTCCTAAGCTCTATGCACGATTGATATTGCATCCTGGAATAAAAGCCATAATTAAGCTAATCAGCGAGCGTTTTTAATTGGACACAAACATGTTTGAAATGCCAAAAAGCTCAAAGTACATCGTCACAGCAAGTTCCGCAATAGGCCCTTTCCACCACCTTGACAGCAGTTTTGAGCATATACCTATCGATATTGTGCGATCACTGCCAATTTCAAATGGCTTCAGTTAAATTTTCACCTACATCAACAAATTCACGCAATTGCCTGTAGCGCGGTACTCATAAAGGACACTTTAGTTGAGACTATAGCCAAAAACCCTAGTGGAATATTGGATCTCTTATTACAGAAGTGCCGGGTATTGATCCCAAGTCCTGTCCACACCGTGGACTAGTGCTTCTTGAGAAACCTGAAAAGTAAGTTGGATTAGTATTAGTCTTACAGACCAGAGAGCGTGACTGCAAAGCCCAAGGGACAACTGCTTGAGGCCTATCGTAGACAGCCTTTTTATGGGAGGCTGACGTGTTAGCTCCGCTCTCCAAATGGGTCTTACCACCGGAAACGGAAATCTCTAAAAGGTAAGATTGAGGTGTGATATTTCTACGGTCAATCTTTTCTAACCTCATTCTTCCTTGTAAGAAGGCAGTATCCCTGCTAATGCTGATTGTCCGAGGAAAATACCTTAATGCTATCACACCTTTTTTAGTGGCCGACGACTGAACTCCATTGTGGACGAATGACCGAGTATGCAATGAAATAAATCTCCCTGTCCGTTTCCCGTGTATCATTCTTTTAGGCAAACTCCGTATGTGCGACAGTGGTAATAAAAAGGCCATCTACGGTTTCACGGATTAATTTATTTCATGCAGACAAACATGAGAATGGAAAGCGTACAAACAAAGCGAAGCGATTTGAAGAAGGCGAATGAGCCAACTCTTCATGAGCTGAAGAGTGGGTGACTAAGTATTTATAGTCAAGCAATAATCGGCTAGACATGTGTAATAAGCGAGTAAGCATCCACACACACACGCACACACAATCAAATATACAATAATCGATACCGTAATCGAATTAGTACAAATACAAACTTATGGTCGATACAATTATCGAATAATTTAAATGACAATGAATGGGGATGAAATGCTACACCTTTTCTATCCATCAGCAGTACGACTTCACCCTTGAACTTTCAGTTGCTGCTTTTAGTCTTATCGTCCTCTAATCAACCTACCTGACATGGTAGGTTCTAAAGAAACATATGTAGTTGGATCGTCACGATAGTCAAGCCCGACCACCACGTCATAGTAGTGTTAGGATATTCATCCATTGTCGTAAGAGAATTATTGGTCAATTCCTATTGGCTAATTTCTATTGGTCAATTTTATGGTCGTCGTAGATATCAATGTCACGTGCTCAAATGTTGTTTCTTATTGGTTGTCCTGACTATCAATGTCACAGAGCTCAATGCTGTTTCCTATTCGACCTAAATGTATAAATACGCTTCATCTGTAACATTTTATGACCTGGACCCGGACTCGGATCGTCAATCCGTGATCCTTGTCTTCTTCTGGACTTGGACCTCGTACTTTCTGAATGTTTGTTGTAGAATATACAGGTTCTACTTCATATCAAGTCTTCTTCTTTCACTCAATATGGGGGTTGGGACACAATCGAATTACAGTAGCATGTCATGTCACCGGATCCTCGATCCTTGTCGCTCTCATGTTTCCGACAAAGGTAAACTCGTAATAATTCAAGCATATCAGATTAACATGTTTACTGACATGCATTCGTAACAAATAGCAGCCACGGTTGGGATTTGAATTTGCAATTCCATCTCTGTGTATATGTGTGCTAATATGGTCGTGGTCAGTCAGTCAGTTGCAACGTAGAACTTCGTACCTATGTACATAAGTTCATGTTGCCATACCACATTAGTACAAAAGCGCAAATGTCAAATCAAATCCCATAGTGATAAAGATAGTAGAGGTATTAATGGTAATGAAGAAGACTAGGGTTTGAAGATAGTGTTCAAGAAGTGAGATAAGGTTAGAAAGACAAAGGTAGAGGCGCTGACGAATCCAGAAGATTAGGATTTGAGAGAGCACAACGAGTGGATGCACTTGCGCCATTGCAAACGATTTTGAGTCATGTCGTTCAAGGTCTCTAACCATTGATAACTTTCGTCTCACGGACCCCAACCATGTAGTCTACATCTACCAACATGACTCAGTCTACTTGTCAGTGACTTCATGGATTTCTGCCATGTTTTGGTCTTCCCGCCTCTAACTTTCTTCCAACCTACTCTTTTACACCACAAAACATGGTCGTGGTATGGCAACTTCAACTGATGTACGTACGTACGTATCAAGTTCTATGTTAGTCAGCTGACTAACTGTGACAATCTATGCTTGTGTATAGCTTTAATCTATGATCATTACTCTAATTCTACGTGATTATTTTTTCAATCAATTTCTGTTTGGTTGTCTTTTTCCGCTTGTAGTTAGTTCCACAGTAATAAATGACACGATGGATCCATTAACTTCCGTGTGTTGTACCATCTCTAAAGATTTAACCACCAATAATCATTGTATTATTCATGAACAGAAGAATATGTTGCACAATAATAATACTAATACTACAGAGGAATTAATTGTTGTCGAGCGCGCTGACGAATCTGATTCACAACAACACCAACCACAACCGTCCACATCGAATGTCAATAATCATGACGGAACTAACGCAGAGAATATTCAAGATTTTTTTGGATTAGTAAGTTCTCTCTTACTTTGTGTGTGTTCGTGTGTGTGTGTGGGTGTGTGTGAAGAGATCATTATTGAGTCGGTCGATCGATCGATCATTGTTGGAACCCGCGGAAGCACTGGATGGCTTTTTCGTGTTAGTTAGTTAGTTAGTATAGGTAGGTGTAGGACAGTGCGCATGCATCCACAACTGCTCTCCGAATGTGAGAATCGAACCCACAAGGTTATTTTGGTATTGCATGCGTGAATGCTTGACAAGCAGTAGACGAACACTGCTGGTGTCTTAATTTTTTTTAATTTTTTGTAGTTGATCGATTTTCGATGATGCAGGTCAAGTGATATTATTGATTGATTGAACGACACTTGCATTTCATTTCTATCCTCTCTCGCTATCTAATGGCCAAATTATCCTAGTAAAAATGTGTTAACGTATGCCTAAACCACCGACTGCCTCGACGAGCTATGTTTTGTGGTGTAGGAGTAGGTTGAAAGAAAGATAGGGCCGGCCAGACCAAAACATGGCAGAAATGCATGAAATCACTGACAAGTGGACTGAGTCATGTTGGTAGAGATGTAGGTTACCTGGTTAGGGTCCGCGAGACGAAAGTCATCAATGGTTAGAGACCCTGAACGACATGGCTCAAAATCGGTTGCGATAGCGCAAGTGCATTCATTCGTTGTGCTCTCTCAAATCCTAATCTTCTGGATTCGTCAGCACCTCTACCCCTTTGTCTTTCTTATCTTATCTCACTGAATTATACTTCTTGAATAATAATATCTTCAAACCCTAGTCTTCTTCATTACGATTAAAACCTCTACTATCTTTATCACTATGGGATTTGATTAGACATTTGCGTCTGTGTGCTAATGTGGTATGGCAACATGAACTTATGTACATACGTACGTAGTTCTACGTTGCAACTGACTGACTAAAAATGTAGCAAACTGATGTAATTTGAAGTAAGCTAACCAACATCTAAGGTGGTGATACCTGATATACTACTATATCTGCCTATAATGTATGAACGAAGCTTAGAAAAAACAAAGGAACACCGTTGTTTCCTCCCCCTCTCTCGACATATTCTCCCATGGCCTAACAGCAATCTCTGGCAAAAATGTATATACATTTGTGTATGTGATTGGACTCTGTTGTCTTAGTGTGTCTAGATTGTCATGAGAGAGTAAGTAAATCGAACCTAGTTAGATCATCATTAGAAAACTGGAAGAAGCACTGGACGGCTGTTTCGCCCTGGTATGAAACTCATTAGCAGTGCGCATTCACGGCTCCTGAAACTCTTTAGGCGGGATCGAACCCAGTACCTTCGGTCTTGCCTGCGAATGCCTAACCTCTGAAGTTTTGATTAGTGGAGTTCAACCCTGTTCGTGTGTGAAGCAATGCTCACCGAAACCAGTGGATGAGGTTGCACAAAAACCGGGGATTGATCGAAGTTAGACATAAATTCCGTCAGATATCGACTCATTGATCCAGAGTTTAAGTGTTCTCCCACAAGACCGATAATCCTGAGTTCGAATCTTGCTAGTAATAGGAGTCGTAGATGCTCACTGCCACTGATGAGCCCCATACCAGGACGAAACGGTCATCTTTCAGTGCTTCGAGGTTTCTAATGGTTGTCTAATATATTTGATTCAGATATAATTCCTACTCTTGTTTATTAGATTTCAACGAAAGATGACAGTAAATAGCAACAATTTAGAGTCAAATTTATAGATTGTTAGTATTCTTACTGTATTTAGGTAACTAGATTCTCAGGTATAAATTTTTTCAGACTCATGAAAGGACACAAGTACTATAAGCTTATTATTATGTACACACAAACACCAAAGGGATTATCAGCTTGAATTCCTACAGGTTAAATAATACAGGTCCTAATCTGTGAAAGCACGCTAGATCGACGTCACACAAGTGATGCAAACTTCATAATGGCTAATAACTGACCATAGGTTCATACGCTCGCTATTTATCTTCATCAAGATGCTGAAACCCTTTTTGTAAAACGATAGTTTTTAAATGAGGAGCGTTTTCCAACTCCCTTAGATGAAGATCCTCCTCCACACCAACCAACGAACTCAATTTTTTTTCACTCCGATCGGATATTCACTTTTTGGTCTTTCAGTTTTGTGAACAATACATGTGCAATGAGTTAGTTGACAGTGGTACCCCGACCCTGTAGCTGCTGCCTTGACGTGATGTGGTCGGGCTTGCCTATCATGAGGACTCAATAGAACTATATTGGCTGCAACATATATTCCTGTATGTTCTACCATCCCCAGGCAGGTCGACTAGAGAACGATAAGACTAAAACCAGCTCAAGATTTGAGAGCGAAGTCGTACTTCTGGCTGTAGAGGGGTGTAACAACAGTGAGATGTTTCCTCCTGTACAACCAGCATCCGCAGCGATGCTGTCTTCTCACAACGGAAGGAAGGGGTTAGAAAACTTTGACCCTAAAAATGTCACACCTCGCCTTACCCAACAGATTTCCGTCTCCGGCGGTAAGGCTGCTTAAAGAACGGAGCTAACACGTTAAAAGCTTCCCATAACAAAGCCGCGTATAACCGTCCACAAGAAGTTGTCCCTTGGACTCTACGGTCACGCTCCCTGATCTCCATTCCAACTCCTTTTTCAGATTCTTCGAGAAGTATCTTTCCATGGTGTGGGCAGCTCTCATACCGGTAACGGCACACGAGACCCCTATCTACTTACGAAAGTTTATACTGACCCTGGAACTCGAACCAAGTACTGTCTACCTCAAACATCAACATACTATTTAGTTAGCTACTACTGAATTCAATTAACCATTATTCACTTGTTATAACTGTATTTATTTTCTCAACTATTTACATGAGTCCAGACAGATATGTGCAAATGATTTTATCCCTATTTAATGTCATTTAATGTTAAAACTGACTGTGTTTTGTCTCTTCCTCTTTTTTAGCCTGCTTCGCATGAATTAACATCGCAAGTGTTTGCCGTAACACCATTAAATTGGTGTCCGCATTTAACTTCTGTCCAACATAATCCGAATTGGAAACCTGATATTCATAGTTTATGTGGTGATTGTAATCATTTCAATGAAAATTGGGTTTGTCTATCGTGTTATGCAGTAAGTTTGTGTCTCTCCGTGTGCGTGTGTATGCGTGTGCGGTGCGTGTCCGTATTTATATAACTGTACTCTGTCATCTATGCATCATACTGTTTGAAAAATTCGATATAAAAATATTCCCTGTTATTCGTTTGCATGTATATGTTAGCGGGTGATAATGTTCTAGCTTTAAAAGGGCTACGGACGCCAAGTGGTGTTTCTGGAAGGGATTCTGTCTCTCTAAATACGTAAACTCACCGTGTGAATATTTCCTGTGGGAAGCCGTTACCCCGAGAATCTTGGCGCGTAGGCGGTGCAGCAAGAGCAAATGTACTTTATATACATATCAGAGGCACATAAGGTTACACCTATTCATCTCTTGACATACACATAGGTATAATCGCCCCTTAGATGGTCGCCACTACCACTGAGGTATCTGCTATCACTGATATATAGGTTCACACCTAAATGCTTCATGACATACATATATATAAGCACAAGCATTTTAAGATGGGAGGGCCAGTAGTCAGTCAGTCAGTTGCAACGTAGAACTACGTACGTATGTACATAAGTTCATGTTGCCATACCACATTAGCACAGAGACGCAGATGTCAAATCAAATCCCATAGTGATAACGATTTGATTTCGACCAATTTGGTCTCGTGAGCTGGTACGGGTATGAGGGCGGTTGTCACTTCACGGCTGCCCACACCGTAGAAGGTTGTTTCTTGAGGAACCTGAAAAGGAAGATAGATTAGGGTTGGTCTTGGAGACCTGGGTGCGTGACCGCAGAGCCCAAGGGACAACTGCTTGAGGCCGGTCACGCACGGCCTTTTTATTAAAGGATTTTTGAGTGTTAGCTCCGCCAGTAGTCACCTTTCCTCGATATTTGTAATCCGCGTGATATTATTTTGTTCTGGTTAACGCCTCAGTGTTTTAGTCTGAGGGAAATGTTTCAATATTAACCTGAATGGTTACTTACTTACTTATTTAAGCATGTTATCTCTAATTGAGTATAGGCAGCTGATGAGCGAATTATTTTTCTGGTTAACGTGTTCTGTTTTAGCGAGTTGGATTTCTACAGGATGGGGCTTGGGACCGGCAGGTAACCCTTCGAAGGGCTCCAAATGGAGTTTATAAACCTCATGACTATCACTTTAACTCACAAACATTACATTCACTTATCGGTGCAATGTATATATATGAGTATTGTGTCATAAAATGCTCATTTTTAACTTCACCATTCTAACTACAATCCAAATTTTCTTGGTATAAATGAATAATGGCTAACAGTGTAATTCAAGATGTACATTTTATTCAACTTACGAATCATCATCAACTGAATGTACCTACATCGTGAATCAATCATTGTTAGACCACACTATTAAGAAACCTGCAAGAAGCACTGAAAGACGGTCGTTTCACCATCATAGTTATGGAACTACTCGTCAGCAGTGCACATCCACAAAGCCCGCAACTTGCAGATGGGAGTCGAACCTTCGGTCTTGTGCGCGAACGCTTAACCACCTCTGGATCGATCACTGAGCAGCTGACCAGCATCCATTAATGTTAATTTCTAATAACTCAGATCAATCTAAGTATTTTTTTGCGCAAGCTCACCCATTGAATATTTTGGCTAACTGTGGAATTCAAGACTCGTTTCATTCAACTTATGAATCGTCGACTAGTAGATGTGTTACCTACACTACGGAGTAGATGTTCACAGTCAGTCAACTACCGCGTGGAACTTTGTACGTACGTTACTATACCACATTAGTACACAAAAGTTGAATTGTCAATTCAAATCCGATAGGCCTAGACGTATTAGAAGTATGAGCGGTAATCAAAAAAACAGATTCGGCGTCGAAGAAGAATCAATTTAAAAAAGAGTGGATGCATAAGCCCTTGGAAACAATTTTTAGTCGTGGCATTCACAGTCGGTTACTATTGTCTCATGGACCCCAACCTGGCAGTCTCCACCTACCAGTATGACTCAGTTCAGTAGTTAGTGATTTCGTGGATGTGTACCATGTTTTAGTCGTCTGACCGCCTCTAGCTTTCTTTCAGCCTTTCCATACATCAGACAACATTGCTCGTCGAGGTAGCCGGTGGTTGAATATATGTCCCAACCACCTCAACTGATGAAGTTTCAATACTTCATCTATTGATCTGCCATCCTTATTTAGTACCCGTTTCATAATAACAGCTTTGCTTAATCGCTTGTCCCAGGATACACTAGTCATGCTTTGGAGACACCTCTAATTGAAAACAAGCAACCTAAGAATAACTCCTACTCTAACTGGCCATGTTTCAAAGCCATATAGTAGGACGGAGTGAACTACCGCGCAGTACAGTACACCCGTCCTTTAGTCAGCAAACGGGATATCTCGTTGACGCCATAAGTGATGTCAGTTGACAAAAAACAAGTCGAACCGTTTAATATCCATGCTAAGATTTCGTTACACATCATGCCATCAGTTCAGCACTGATAAGAAGATTCCTAAGATAAGTGCACCGGTTGTCGACACACTCATCAGCTACTTCAGTCAGTCAGTTGCAACGTAGAACTTCGTACGTATGTACATAAGTCCATGTTGCCATACCACATTAGCACAAATGTCAAATCAAATCCCATAGTGATAGTAGAGATAGTAGAGGTTTAAATGGTAATGAAGAAGAATAGGGTTTGAAGATATTATTATTCAAGAAGTATAATTCAGTGAGATAAGGTTACAAAGACAAAGGTAGAGGTGCTGACGAATCCAGAAGATTAGGATTTGAGAGAGCACAACGAATGGATGCACTTGCGCCATTGCAAATGATTTTAAGCCATGTCGTTGTTCAAGGTCTCTAACCATTGGTGACTTTCGTCTCGCCGACCCCAACCAGGTAGCCTACATCTCTACCAACATGACTCAGTCCACTTGTCAGTGACTTCATGGATTTCTGCCGTGTTTCGGCTTGGTCGCCCCTAGCTTTCTTCCAACCTACTCCTACACCACAAAACATAGCTCGTCGAGGCAGTCGGTGGTTAGGCATTCGTAACACATGTCCCAACCACCTCAACTGATCAAGTTTCACCACTTCATCTATTGATCTGCCATCCTTACCTAGCTCCCGTTTCCTAACGACAGCATTGCTTATACGGTTATCCCAGGATGCACGAGCAATGCTTCGAATACATCGATGATCGAATACTAGTAACCTACGAACATCTTCTACTCTTAACGGCCATGTTTCACAGCCATATAGGAGAACGGAGCGAACTGCTGCGCAGTACACCCATCCTTTGGTTAGCGAACGAATATCACGTCTACGCCATAAGTGACGGAAGTTCGAATAAGCCAATCGAGCCTTCTGTATCTGAGCTGAGATTTCGTTAGTCGCCAGGCTATCAGCTCTGATGAGACTTCACAGATAAGTGAAGTGTTCAACACGCTCGACTACTTCACTCCCTATCACTAGTTCAGGTGCCGATGCAACCCAATCTTGAAGCAACCTTTTTGCATTTCGGTGGGAAAAACCGCATCCCGAACATGCTTGCATTGTTGCTTAGGGTAGTCAGAAGACTCTGTATTTTGTCAGCGTCTTCACCGAATAGAACTATGTCATTGGCATATTCTAGATCAGTAAGAGATTTTCCTGGTAGAAGTTCAACAACCCCTGAAAAATCTGACGAGCTTAATGTTAACTCCAAGAGAGGATGTCTACGACAAAATTAAACAAGAATGCAGAGAGAGTGGACAGTCCTGACCGACACCACTTGATGTAGAGAATTCCGGTGACAGCTACTTTACTCCCAACAGTTCGACAAATTATAATAAATTTAAGTCATTACTCCTTATTCTTATTATATATATTTCTTTTCTGGAAAATCTTTTTTCTTTCCACACAGGTTTATTGTAGTCGTTATGTGAATTCACATATGCTTGAACATTATGTCAAAATGAAACATCCATTGGTACTTAGTTATGCTGATTTATCTATTTGGTGTTATGAATGTGAATCCTATGTACATAATGAGGTAAACATAACAACACTAAACATAAAGTGTGTTGTATTTTTTTCTCATCAAGTGTTGTCTATCTATCTGTAAACTTACTTTCTTACTTACTAACTTACTTGCGCCCCAATGCAGCATAGGCCACCACGGACCAGCATTCTTCAATCTACTCTCTCCTGAGCCTGCCTGCCTTCCTTTCTAGTTCTATCCAATCGATATTCATTGTTCTCATGTTTGTCTGCATTTGTCGGAACAATGTGTTGCTTGGTTTTTCGCTTTTCCTTTGGTCTTGAGGATTCCAAGTGAAGAGGACTACTCTTGTGATGCGTTTCTTCTTGATTCCTTCGTTTGTTGGAATCTGGTTTGTTCTATTCCACAGTAGGTTGTTGCCAATAGTGTCTGACCAACAGGTTCAGAGTATCTTCCATGGACAATTGTTAATAAACACTTGTATCTTCCGAACGATGACTTTCATGGTTCGCCAAGTTAATGCCCCATACAGTAAAATTGTCTTGACATATTTGTATTGTAAATGCTGACTTTGGTTTTACTTAACCGACAGTTGTTTACAGTTCCAGATGTGGTTTAATTTTAAAATTGCAGCCTTTGCTTTGCCAATCCACACGCCTTCACATCCGCTGCAACATCAGTTCCACCGTGTTTATCAATGATACTGCCCAGATGTATAGCGGTTTCTACATCCACGAAAGCTTCTCCGTCACTTGTGATCTGATTGGTGCATATTGTATTGATTCAGTGAATCCTACTTTCTCGTTTTGTGTATGTTGAGACCTAATTCTGTAAAGATTGCTTCTACACTGGTCGTCTTCTCTTGCATTTGTTGTTGTCCTTATGGAAGTGTTAGGATATTCATCCAATACATATCCTAAGAGAATTGTTGGTCAATTTTATGATCGTGCTAGATATCAATGTTCATTACGGGGTTGTGAAGATTGTTAAGTTACACATTTTTGAAACCATGAATCAATCAATGTTAGACCACCATTAGAAACCTGGAATAACTGGACGGCCGTTTCGTCCTGGTATGGGACTCCTCAGCAGTGAGCGTCCACGACTCCTGCACCAATGCTTCCAGGTTTCTAATGGTGGTCTAACATTGATCGATTCATGGTTTCAAAAAAGATATCAATGTCACGTGCTCCAATGTTGTTTCTTATTGGTTGTTCTGACCATCAATGTCACTTCAAATGTTACTTCCTATTGATCGTTTTAACTGTCCATGTCACAGACTTCGATGATGTTTCCTATTCGACCAAAATGTATAAATATGCATTATCTGTAACGTTATATGATCAGGATCAGGACCAGGACCCGGTCCCGGATCCCTAGTCCGGTATCCTGATTCTCTTCTGAACTCGAACCTCGTACTTTCTGGATGCTTGTAGAATACAGGTTCTACTTCACATTCAAGTCTTCTTATTTTTACTCAATATTGAGGGTTGTGATAATCGGATTTGAGTAGCATGTCGTGTCACCGGATCCTCGATCCTCGTCGCTCTCGCGTTTCCCGACTAAAGTAAACTCGTAATGGAATAGTTCAAGCATATCAAGTTGACATGTTTACGTGCAGGCGTAACAGGAACATATTCCATGCTTCCCCCTGAATGTACAAGGGGAATCGTTCTATCCAGTGAACATGAAAAAACCTAATTTATTTTAATATTCACAGAGAATAGAAATTTCCACTCGTTAATTATTATTATTATTACTTCATTAATTTCGTTCCTGTTTTTTTTCAGATCCTATTCAATATAAAACAAGCTGTTCATCAAGCCAAATTCGGTGAAACTATCAAATCCAATGATTCTTTGTGAAAAATTGATCTCTCTCACTCTCTCTCTCTCTGTCCATCTTCCTTTTCTCATAACTCTTCAAAGAAATTCCTATGTCTGTGTGTGTATGCTTTTTTTACTGTACGTTTCTTATTTTATTTATATTATATCAGGAAAGAATATTATTTTTATTTTTATTATTTATATTAAGAAGGTAATGAAATATTGATTCATTCATTGTACAACGCAACACAACACAACAAATTGTTCCCCCTTGTCTCCTAATGATTATTTGTGTTCCTTCATTCATACTCCGATGGGTTTTTCCTTCGTTTTTTCTCTTCTCTTGATTCTTGTTTAAATTTGAATATTTTTATTTTTATTTTCCTTTTTTTGTGACAATTTTTTAAAGAAACGTTCGATCTCTTTTGTTTGTTTATGTGTATGTTCAATTTTTTCTTGTGTTCAATCTACTTTTACTACTAACATGAATATCAGTAGTAGTAGTAGTATTTGTTGTCGTTGTTTTTACTACTACATACAACCTATCGATTTTTAATGATGTTTTTTATAGATTTTTTCTTTAAAAAAAACATGTAAGTGTTCAATGAGTTGAATCATGGTAATGGCTCTTTTTTTTTAAAAAAAGACGTGGTTATTGGTTGCCTGTAGTGGAATTCAAGACACGCGTGTTTCGTCGTATTTAAAACTTGTCAGCTAGAGGAATATGCCTGCCTACATTTCAAAGATTGATCAATTAATTTCATCAAAGTGTAGTGAACGAGAACACAGGTGAGGGCAACCGAATTGTATTTAACGAAAATTACAGAGTTACTCAGTAAAATAGGAAAACCATATCGTAAATCGTTCATTTGCAAAATATCAGTTCATCATATCGAACTGGACTGTTCCTGTTGCAAAACATCAATCGATTGTTACTACTATTCATGCGTTTCATACAAATTCCATTGTGTTCTAACTGTTCCTTTGTTGATCTTCCCCCATCTTCTGCTGCCAGACATTACGTTTACACTCACGTCATATACTACTTATAAGTAGCGCGCACCACAGGTATAGCTGCCTGGTTAGGGTCCATGAGACGATACTAATCGTTGGTTAGAGAACACTAAGAGTGGATGCACCTGCGCCATTGTAAACAATTGTGAGCCATGTCGTTCAAGGTCTTTAATCATCGGTGACTTTCGACTGGCGGACCCCAACTATGTAGTCTACATATACCAACATGACTCAGTCCACTTGTCAGTGATTTCATGGGTTTCGGCTTGGTCGCCCCTATTCCTATATCGCAAAACATAGCTCGTCGAGGCAGTCAGTGGTTGGTCATACGTAACACATGTCTCAACCACCTCAACTGATAAAGTTTCGATGATTCATCTATTGACGTGCTATCAGATAATAAAACAAACATTCATAACAAGCGATGAAGTAATCAATATGGCGTCATTTCAATCTGTCAATTCGCTGAAATTTACATGATAAATTCCTTTAATTTCTAGCCTGTAAGATTATAGAGTAGATTTATGACTTAAGTAGATGAGATTATGGTGTAGTGTTGTTCTTTGAGCTAGAGATGTATCGGTTGTGGTCAGTCAGTCAGTTGCAACGTAGAACTTCGTACGTATGTACATAGTTCATGTTGCCATACCACATTATTAGCACAGAGACGCAAATGTCAAATCAAATCCCATAGTGATAAAGATGGTAGAGGTATTAATGTTATAATAAAGAAGACTAGGGTTTAAGATATTATTCAAAAAATATAACTCAGTGAGATAAGGTTAGAAAGACAAACGTAGAGGTGCTGGCTAATCCAGAAGATTAGGATTTGAGAGAGCTCAAAGAGTGGATGCACCTGCGCCATTGCAAACGATTTTGAGCCATGTCGTTCAAGGTCTCTAACCATTGATGGCTTTCGTCTCGCGGACCCCAACCAGGTAGTCTACATCTACCAACATGACTCAGTCCACTTGTCAGTGACTTCATGGATTTCTGCCATGTTTTGGTCTGGCCGCCCCTAGCTTTCTTCCAACCTACTCCTACACCATAAAACATAGCTCGTCGAGGCAGTCGGTGGTTAGGCATACGTAACACATGTCCCAACCACCTCAACTGATGAAGTTTCACCACTTCATCGATTGATCTGCCATCCTTACCTAGTACTCGTTTCCTAACGACACCATTGCTTACTCGGCTGTCCCACGATATACGAGCAATGCTTCTTAAACATCTATGATCGAATACTAGTAACCTACGAACATCTTCTACTCTTAACGGCCATGTTTCACAGCCATATAAGAGAACGGAACGAACTGCTGCGCAGTACACCCGCCCTTTGGTTAGCGAACGGATATCACGCCTACGCCATAAGTGACGCAGGTTGGCAAAAGCTAATCGAGCTTTCTGTATCCGAGCTGAGATTTCGTCAGTCACCAGACCGTCAGCACTGATGAGACTCCCAAGATAAGTGAAGTGATTTACACGCTCGACTACTTCACTCCCTATCACTAGTTCAGGTGCCGATGCAACCCAGTCTTGAAGCAACATTTTGCATTTCGAGGGAGAAAACCGCATCCCGAACATGCTTGCATTGTTGCTTAGGATAGTCAGAAGACTCTGCATTTTGTCAGCGTCTTCACCAAGTAGGACTATGTCATCGGCATATTCTAGATCAGTAAGCGACTTTCCTGGTAGAAGGTCAACCCCTGAAAAATCTGACGAGCTTAATGTTAACTCTAAGAGGATGTCTACGACAAAGTTGAACAAGAATGGAGAGAGTGGACAGCCCTGACGGACACCACTTGATGTAGAGAATTCAGATGACAGTTCGCCATATGCTCTCACCCGACCAGTGGTGTTCGAGTAGAGTGCTTGTATAAGGTTAATGTACTTCTTCGGTACACCTTTCAATGACAGACACTGCCACAGAACCTCACGATCCACTGAGTCGAATGCCGCCTTAAGGTCCAGGAACACGACTATTGTCGGACGTCTAAATGTGTGTCTGTGTTCCAGGACCTGTCGTAGTGTGAAGATGTGGTCTATACAACCACGTCCAGGTCGAAAACCAGCCTGGTTTTCTCGAGTCTGCTCTTCACGAGCTCTAGTTAGACGTCTAAGTATAATCGAGGCTAACAATTTAGAAACTATATTAGTTAAACTTATTCCCCTGTGATTGTCACAAGAGGACTTCTGTCCTTTCTTGTAGATTGGGACAATTAGCGACTGAGACCAGTCAGATGGGATTACGTCCATTTCCCAGATTCTACCTAGGATCTCGGTCAGTCTAACCGTTAAAACTAGACCACCATCCTTAAACATCTCAGGGGTAAGCCTATCGGGACCTGCCGCTCTACCTCTCCTTAGATTTCCAATAGCTTTCTCAACTTCATGTAAACTGGGAGGACTTAAATCGATTTGCCATTCAGGATGACTGGAGATCGTGGGCAACCGAAGAGTGGCTGAAGGCCAGTTGAACTGATCCCTAAAGTGTTCTGCCCATCGGTCCAGCCTCCTAGATTGAGAATGGATAATAAGACCATCCTTTTCCGAGATAGTCTCACTTACATTCGGGTTCCTAATACCGGTTTCTTTGATAAGGCGGAAAAGTTGTCTAGTGTTGCCGATCGCCGCTGCCTTTTCCATCGCTTTTGCTTTCGCCACCCACCACTGTTCACGGTCGTTACGTAGACTTTTTATAAGTCTGCGCCTAAGCTGACTACGCTCTTCATCATGTTCAGAGTCAGGTGGGATGCGTTTTCGAGCATCCATCAGTTCGGTGGATGCGACTGAAATCCACTGCTTCATCCTAGTATTGTGGTTTACCTTGCTAGCAGATACCATTGCTGTTTCCACAGCCTTCTTGATATGATTCCAACCTGCTTCAGGATGGGAATCACTTGCATGGCCGCCCAACTGTTTTTCTAGTTCCTCCTGAAATATTTTCTTAGCTTGATTATCATCAAGTAAAGCCCTAAGAGGCTTCCTTACGGTGTCTTTCCTACGTCCAGCAAGCCTCAAACAAATACGTGCTCGCACTAGGGCATGGTCTGAATCTAAACATGTGCCCCAGAACGAGCGACAGTCCTCTATCGAACCCCTCCATCGGTGGCTAATGGCGATATGATCTAGTTGTGTCCAACGTTGAGACGACTTCGGGGGTCGCCAGGTCAAAAGGTGTTTTTCCTTATGCTTAAAATTAGTGTTTGCTAGAAATAGTTGGTTATCTGAGCACAGTTGCAACAGACGGTCGCCATTGTCTGTTCTTTGAGCCGCGAGACCGTAACATCCACCTAGATGTCTTTCATTTTCACTTAGTCTACCTACTTGTGCATTGAAGTCACCAGCCATTATAACTATATCAGATCGCTTAACTTTTTGGAGGAGGTCCGAAAGCTTTCTGTAAAACTCATCTTTTACATCATCTGGGCTGCAGTCAGTGGGGGCGTAGGCTGATATGACGAAGAGGCAACGGCGAGTGTCCCTATCTTTCCGAGTCCTTACTGTCCCGTTGAGTCGGACGGCGCACAAGCGACTATCTACAGGGATCCAGTCAAGGAGAGATTGTTCTGCCCTACGACTCAATGCTATACCTACACCGGCGAGGCCCCTAGAAGCAGCATCAGGGCTACCGGATACACGAAGGGTAAATCGAGCTGCTTCTTTATCTTGACATGGTGAGGTCAAGTGAGTGATGCTACTCGGATCCTGTATGCGCGTTTCCGAGACGCAGCACACATCGATGGAACGAGATTCTAAAGTCCTAGCTAATGATGCCTGTTGCCCTATTTGACACAATGTCCGTACATTGAATGCTCCAACATGTAGTTTGGAACGGGGTTTAAGGAGACCAGGAACGACGTTTCGCAAACTCGCATCGTTTGCATTAGCTGTGCACTGTAATAAATGAATGTGAGAAGAGTTAGTTGTGGAGATAAGAGAGGTATTAGGGAATGTAGGAAGGATTTGATTTTGAACAATTTTGTCTCGTGTGCTGTTGCGGGTATGAGGGCGGTTATCACTTC